TAAGAAAATGTGCATTTATGGAGGTCAAGTATATATTTGGGCCGGACTTGAGCGTGCATTTAGAGAGGGTGTGCACTTATAGAGGGTGCACTTAGAGAAGTCTGACTGTATTAAGAGGAAGAGCCGAAAAATTCCGAAAGGAAATCAACGAACAAAAAATACGAGCAAGGTCGCGACAAAATTTTAATGAAATCATCGATAAATTCCGAAGGTAAAAAATATTCGTCTCTGACTTAGCCGGCTAAGCCGAATTTTAAATATCGACTTAGTCAAGTCGATAAATAAGGATCGATACCAACACTAATAGAGGGTTACCTTAGTAAAATTTCGAGATATTAGCTCTTTAAAATTTATATTAGAATTTATTTAAGTTTTATAATATATGAAGGTTATATATTTGTATATATAAAATTATATATAAACTTTGTATAAAATTTTTATCTAAATTTTACAAAATATAAAAATTATATAAAATTTTATTTAAGTTTTACGATATATAAAGATTATATAATTATAATATATGAAGTTTAGATATTATGACATATAAAAGTTACTTAATTACAATACATAAAATTTATACATACTGTTGAACCTTTCAAAATCGATAACCCGTCAAATCTGATAAAAGATTAGTCTACCAAGTCCTTAGTTTATAATGTTTTCGAATCTGATAACCTCTCAATACCCATACAAAATCTGTCCACCATGCATACCGGCTTTGGGAGGTTCAACAGTATATAATTTTTTTTTATAAAATTATATTTATATAAGTTTACATAAATTTTATATAAATTCTATATTAGATAATATATAAAAATTAATATATATAATATAGTATCCTATATAATAACTATATAAAGTTGTAGATCTATGTAGATTTTATAAAATAACATCTTCGTGATGAAGAATTAGTAGAAGCAACCAGAAGTGTGGGAAATTAGTAAACTCAAAATGATTTGACATGTCGTAAATGGAACCTGAATTTAAGGAATCTTTATTTAGGTTAGAAAATAAGGGTAACTTTTTTCAAAATAAGCAGGAGTTTAAAAGTCCTATTTTTTATTTTGATAAACATTCATCAACAAGCGATTATGTAAATAAATACAAAAATATGTCGCGAAATAAATTTTAGTATATCATGTTTATCATGTGATCGTTGATCACTGATATTTAAGTCACTAATTTAATTTGAAATCAGAAACCTGAAACATTAATTCTGTAATTCATTTCTCATTTACCGTAATTTTACTTGTTTAAGCATAACGATCACTTGTATTACCATATCCCTCATCTAAACTATCCAGTTCACATTATTTTGCAATTTATTTTTGTGAATACATGATTTTTGTGTAATATTGTTGAACCCCTCAAAACCAATACACATGGTGCAGATTTAGTATCATTATCGAGAGGTTATCAAATTTGAAAACGCTATAAACTATAACGGAAACGTTAATTTTTATCAGATTTGACAGGTTATCAATTTTGACAGGTTCAGTTTTGGGAGTTTCAACGGTATGCCAGAATCATAATTGGCGTACTATTCTAGATGTGTTATTAAATACAATACATGGGGGTGAATCGGCGTAATTGGACTTAGCTAGACACCAAATTTAATTTTACAGTTGTTTTCATTATTTCTGGAACATTTAAATTTAGCGAATGATTTTTCAGCCAAAATCAGCAAATCTTATTTTATTTTTCCGTTTTATATTCAACATAGTAAAAATGCTATTGAAAAAATCCTATTTATTTTCGAAATACGTCACTTATTTGTTAACTTTGAAACTCCCTATTATGCCGAAATCACTAACTTAACGGAATCGCCAAAAATCAGTCGGCAAATTTTTTATCAGATGTTTAGAAATTATAGCTGCAATTATAGCTGCAATCTCTATATTTTCCAAGTATAGTTAGTTATAGAACAATTACTCAATATATCCTATAGTGGAATGTGATGTACGTCGTACGTAACGTAAGTCAATTTTGTAAAATAAGCGTCTTTATGGTAAGCTGTAAAGGATTAAATTTTTACACCAGTTCAGAATGCAAGTGTTAACACTTGAAAAAAACCTTATATCTTTCGCAGTATACGCAAGTTACGCAAGTGAATATTTTTCAGGAAACTTTTTTTCAATTTTTCTCCTGATTTACGTCAACTTTATTGTATACGAACTATAATTTTTGAAAAAAAGTTTTTCCGAGAGTTAGCACTTACTATTTTGAGCCAATATAAAGTTTAATCCTCTACGCTTGCTACAAAGAGCTCATTTCACAGAATTATCTTGCTGTACATATGTTTCACATATGATGTAAAATATATGACCATGTGTACATATAAGCATTTGCTATATCCAGTTCACTCTAATTACTCTTATAAATTTAAAATTACACCGTAAATAATTTTAGGGATATACTATATTCGAACGTATATTATATCTTTAATTATATGATAGTCACATCGGTTTGTAAAAATTTACTTAACATTTTCCGCATATTGTGTTTATTCGTTTTTTAAAATAATAATACGTAAATGACACGATACCTAAATGAAATAGTTTTTTTGAGATTATTCCGAGGGACACTAGGAAAACATATACAAAGATTTATAGTATTATGTCTCATTCTGTTGTTCTTTAATTATGTGCTGATCACATTGAATATTAATCAAGATCCTTATTTGCAATATGGTGTAATATTTAAGGATGAAGGACAGTCCATTAATACATTTAATAATTCCATCACATCGGAGTCTCATAAACTATTAGTAGTAATAGTTTCTCATGTTACCGAAATTAGAACAAGAAAATTAATTAGAGAATTCATGTTTGGTATTAAAAATAATTTGAGACCATGCATGGAACAAAATGGAAACATCTATTATAAATTTTTAGTGAAAATTTATCAGGGAGTTAATTATAAGATATTAAAAGAGTTTAAAGCAGAAGTTATGGAATATGATGACATTATAGAGTTTCCAAATATAACATTTAATGTTGATTGGCAAAAGATTGTTCTTACTTGGGTATGTAAACATATTTTAAAGTGTTTTTAAATTTATCAGTCTTATAATATTCATATTTAATAGATTCAATCGCTTGAGAATGAAATCTCGTATGATTATGTAGCAATTATTGATTCGCATTCTGTAGTGGACCTTAATAAACTACGACAAATTATAGATTCATCTGTTATTAACACCTACACCTTGACACCTAAACAAAAATTTTATCTAGTTTGGGGTCGCTTTGATATCCAAACAGCAGATGATATGTTCATAATCCTTGGTCGAGGATCCATAGATATTTTACTTAATTTTGACTATTTCATTATGCCAAATAGAAATAAAACTTTAATAGAATTATTTCCTAATCGAATTTCAATGGCTTATTACTATTTCGAAGTAGAAAATCTTACTGATGAAAGAAAATTATTTTTCATCAATGATCAGATTGGAATGATAGAATGGACAAATTCCGTCAAAACCATTCCAATAGAAGAAACAATAGGAGTCGGCCACGTATATCTAGAAATTGACGTAAAAGATTTAATAGCGCACTTATCAATCTCTAAATCTACAATATGTCATCCTATTAAACATGAAAATGGTAAATTATCAATAGCATTAGTAACTAGTAGTTTCATATATGATGATATGTGTATGTATCCTATAGCAGACAATATAACAGATAACAAACGCAGATATGCCAAAAAACATGGTTATTCTTTTGTAGCACGCTCTGAAGAATACACTCAACAAAGATTTTTTAAGAAACGAAAAGATGTCTGGGGAAAGATTGACGCTATTGAAAAGGTTTTACCTCACTATGATTGGGTTTTTTGGATGGATATGGATGCTGTCATTGCGAACCATGATATTACAATCGAACAATTGTTTGAAAATTTTGAAAAAATGGTTGGAAAAGAGAAATTTAATGAAATTAGTTTTGTAATTGCTAGGCCCAGAGATGATAGCATGGTAAGTGCGGGTGTTTTTCTAATTAAGAATTCAGAGTGGAGTCGAAAGTTTTTGAGAGAAACTCAGAAACAAAGAAAATATTATAATTATGGATTGCGAGAACAACTTGCAATGGCTGTTCTGATGCGAAGAGAGGAGTATAAGAACGGAGTAAGTTAATTAAACTTAGTCATTTACATTATTTATTATTGTAATTATTTGATATTGTTATTACTGATTATATTTATTATAATCAATTTTAGGCACTTTATCTTAATGAAGATGACCGTACGTTTAACACATATCCGGATAGATATATTCCAGGGGATTTTGTGGTTCACTGGGCTCCAGATTATAAATGCCCAGCAGAAAATGTTTTAGATGGTATTAAAAAGCTTAAGAAGTATGAGGTTAATAGAGAATACACATTCACTCTTACATATTCTCCTATTCCTACGGAGTTGCTAATAGATCAATCAGAGGATCAGATTCTCCTTTAAAAATTTTAAAAAGTAATCGTTTTAAAGAAAAACTTCTTGCAATCGCAATTTTGAGCAATTCTAAATCAGTTTTTCACAGAAATGAGCAAAGAGCAAGTCAATATATTTAAATGTTTAAATTGTTAATACGTAACACGAAAATAAAACTTTCTTGTCAAGTTTATTTTGTCTTTTGGCACCTACAAAAGAACTTTATTATTTAAATGTTAAGTTATTCATCATTACTAAATTAATTCAGTTAGAACTTGTAAGCGCCACAATCATACTAGTTAGTATAAATTTTTGTTCTTACAAAAGTTGCAAGCATAATGCCATAATTTGTCTTAATTATAATAAGTTTGCTATGCAATAGTAATTATTAAATGAGTAAATTATATCTGCATCTGACACAATGAAGTTGCCTTTTATCGCTGTTTGCAAATTGATAGATCACTGCATGCCCGATTGTTCGATTGCAATCGATTGTAATCGATTGTATATAATTGTACGTGATTGTAAGCGATTTCTCGGCGATTTTTTTTTATTTGAATTTTATGAATCTATAGAATTCAAATAAAAACAAATTCATCTAATTTGATCAGGTGGTTGCTGAGATACCTTCGCTCAAAGTTTTTTTTTAAAAAACGTCATTTTTTACCATAAATAGAAGCTGCGCCAAAATTTTCTTAAAACTTTGAGTGAAGATTCCTCAGTAACCACCTGATCAAATTCGATAATTTTTTTTTTATTTGAATTCTATAGATCCATAGAATTCAGATTATTAAAATTTTATCAAATTTGATCAGGGGTTGCTGAGGTATCTTCGCTCAAGGTTTTTAAAAATATCGTCTAAGCTTGCCAAAATTTTCCTAAAGCTTTGAGCGAATATATCTCAGAATCACCTGAACAAATTCAGTGAATTTTTTTTTATTTGAATTCTATAAATTCATATAATTCAAATAAAAAAAAATTCATAGAATTTGGTTAGATGATTGCTAACAATCACATACAATCACATACAATCGATTGCAATCGATTGTACATGATTGCATGTGATTGTATGTAATTGTGTGCAATTATAAAAGATTGTATGATTTATTTGTAAATGTATAACAAAAAATAATATAAAAAATAACTTCTTACTCATTTTGATAAATTTAATATGGACAGCATTGAATACCCCATAGGTACTTGTTACCTGTGTGCAAAATGTCTTTATTGCAAAAAAGATTCTTCAAAATTTTTATGTGAATGTGATAAAACTATATTACCTACAAAACAAAATCATATGAAAACAGTTCCTTATGCTTTTACAATTCACTATAATGAAAAATTTAATAACAACCAAATTGAAGCTTTAGAAAATTCAAAAGAAACATATAATTACAATATAGAGTTTATAAAAGATTTTAAATTTTCATTTTGCTTTACATGCAATAGTAAATGGTATTGTATGAGTAATGCTAAATCAACAAAATCAAATTTTGTTAAGACTATTAATTCTACTAAACATATAACTTTCAATACAAATAAGCATATTACTAACATACTTGAGAATAACAATTTTCTTAGTAATTATACAACTTATGATACTGACAAACTTATTAATGAGCATACTATTTTTGATACTAATACACTAGTATATAATAAAATAGAGGGTCTTTTATATGAGAATCTGAAGAATCAGATTTAGAAAATAATACTTATAGCTTAGATAGACAGTTAGATAGTGTTCTGAATTGAGCCAGCTCAATTAGGCTTGTCAGAATTAGGGGTTGGCTTGATTTTGGCTTGTAAGGCTTGTAAGCCAGTAGTATAATTTACATAATACAATTTTTACTATTAATTTACATTATGCAATACTTTCTTTTATCTCTACTATTAATCATTAATAGTGGAGATAGGAGAAGTATTGTATGTAAATTAATAGTAGAAATTGTGTTATGTAAATTGTACTACTAGCTCGCAAGCCTTTCAAGCCAAAATTGAGCCAACTTCTAATTCTGACAAGCCTAATTAAGCCAGCTCGATTTGGAACACTACAGTTAGATAAGTTAGATAATAAAAATAATAAGTATAAAAGTAATGAATTTTTACTTAAACTATATATTAAATATGAGAATAATACTACATTAACTGCTAAATAATTAAATATTTTAACTAATTTTTGTAATGAATTTTATAGTCAAATTTTTTCAAATATTTAATTACAATTAAATAATAATACTATTATTTAAAATAATTATTTATTAGTATATAAAATGATAAAAAAAACTGGAGCAGAAACTCAATTATTAATAAAAATGATTTTAGAAGTTTTTTTGAGAATTATAATCAAGCTACAAATAAAAAAAAGAAGTATTCATTAATGTTCAAATATGAAATAATTTATTAAAAAGTAGAGTAAAAAAACAATTGTCTAGATTAGTATATTATTTTATTATTTATTTTTTTAATTTATTAATTATTTTATTATTCTAGAAATTTGAAAAACCCAATAGTGATGATGATAACTTAAATAAAAAAACTATAATTATTCAATAAAAAATCTAAAGAATCTCAGCTTGATAATGATATACATCTTATAGTATCTATTATATAGGCTGCTGTCAATAGAAATCAAGCAAATCGACATTTTAAAAAAAAACAAATGCCTTAACTTTTACTGTTCATATCTCGATAAATTTTGAAGCTATCCTCATTATTTAATAGTTAAAAGAAAGCTTAAGATTCAAGCTTTTTTTTTGAATATTAAATCATAAGAATAACTTTGAAATTCATCGAGATATGAGTAGTGAAAGTTAAGGCATTGATTTTTTTTAAAATATTGATTTGCTTGATTTCTATTGACAGCAGCCCATATGTATATTAAAAGAAAATTTTTTAAAGAGTATACATATTTTTCATGCTAACAAACTGTCACGTAAATATCTAAAAAAAAATATCTCATTCAATTCAGATCTTTATCTAGCCATTTATGATAACTAATTTAATAATAAAAGTTTAATACTTGTTACAGAAATGCCTCTTCACATATACCAAAAATTCCAACTTTAAATAATAACTTAAAATATATAGCTCCCTGTATTTAATATAAATAAATTAATATAATTTAATAAAGCCAATTCTGGGTCAAAGTGATCCATCACATGACTATACGTCTGAGAATCCTCAAAACTTTGAGCGAAGATATCTCGGCAACAATTTTACTAAATTTTGTGAAAAATTTTTTTATTCAAATTCTATAAATCTATAGAATTCAAATAAAAAAGGTTTGTCAGATTTGGTCAGATGGTTGTTGAGATATCTTTGCTCAAAGATTCTTAGGCATATGGTCATATGATGTGTCACTTTGACCCGGGTTATTATATGAAATGAACTTTTCTCTTGTTGCAATAAAAAGGGCAAGTGCATACTCTCAGCAAAATCCTACGAGATGTGGTTTTCTATATCTAGTGAATTTGGAATACCAGGTTATTGTAAATTATTATCAAATTTTCTAATTTCTTCTTTTGAAGTCACAATACATTTTCTATATACAATAAAATTAGTTTAAATTATTGTAATTTGTAATTGTTATACACTGGGTGGCATGGTATAAGCAAAAATAAAATTTTTGTTTGTATTTATAGAATTCAGTATATAACTGATTTATACTCTGCGAGTGATCAGGGTAAGAAATATTTATAATTACTGATAATACTCTCATTCTAAACTAGCCCAAGAATAGTGATTGGACTATTCATTTATTTTATTTAATATTTTACACAGAGTCCATCGCTTAGCACTAAATCTCATTTCCTTACATTGCATGCAAAGATCACTACATGTAGTTAAAAACTTGATTCTGGGAAGGTAATATTTTCAGATTCGGCTAAAGCTTGATTAACTAACTATATAATTATTTTCATCATTAATATCAATTATATCATTATAAAGATGAAACAATGAGTAATAACTTTTCATGCTAGTAAATATATAATATGGCATGTATCTTCATGAAAGTGACGACCTGTTTTGATTATAATTTATTAATATAATTGTTTAGTATATTAGGCTATACAAAATTAATTATTTTAGTTCTTCTAACAATTTTAAAGATGGCCCGGCAATCCAATCCAGCTTTTATTCTCAAAAATTATATATATAAAAGACTTAAAAAATTGTTTTATAAGCATCTTAAAAAATTTACCCAGGTAATAAATATAGTTAAAAATTTTTTTCAAAGTTTTGCAGAATTTGATACGGCCATGTTATGAGACCAATTTATTAAGTTTGTATAGCCTTAATTTTAAAATTTTTTTAAACATTACCAGGTAAAGGAAGACTATGTTGTGTAGAAAAATTTTGAATGAATGTTAGTATATGCAATACTGTTTCAAACTTTAAAGCATGATTACTAACACATTCTTTAAGACCATGAACAATAGGACTTATATTATTTTTTGAATAATGTGTGCGAATTGCTTCCTATTTAGATTTTCCAATTGTATAGATAGTAAGCCAAGAGTTTTGGCAAACTAAAATCTCTTGAAAATTATAATTACTTGTTATATACTGTTTAATTTCTTCACGATTAGTAGCTGATCATATGCTAGCCTCAAGAATTCCTAAAAAAAACATATTTTTTTCTGCTAGTGTCATTAATCTAATCTTACAAAATCTTTTAAAAGCTTCATTGTAATTAATAGAAGTATTAAAACAGTTTTTAGAACAACAAGCAGTTTGTTAAATTTTGGTTAGGAATGCTTGGTTGTCTTGTTCAGACATTTTTTTTCCATCATATTTATTAAAGTTGTAAATTATATTGGTTTGATATATTTGTTAAAATAATACAATTTCTTGCTGTGTAAAGCAATCTAACTCAAAACTATTAACATACTCTACTGTGCTATTATTACTCGCTTGATTTTTAATAAAAAATTCTTCTTCATTTACTAACTCATCACTATCTACAGTTGTATTATAATGTTCATATAATTTATTAAACTCGTCATTTAAAGTAGTTAATTCAGAATATGTTTCAATAAAAATACTATCAAAAAGGACATTTTTACTTATATTTTCATTCATAGTTAATAAAATATAGAAATGGAGTACAACGAAAAACACGGCTTGATGGCAGGTGAAT